TTGAGGGATCTGCGTGAAATCAAATATTTTCTTTCTCTCCCCGAAATAAAAATATTTCTCAAACGATAGAGAAAAGGAAGAAAAATGTCTTTCTATCGGCTAGACGTTCGATAAGGAACGGAGCATAATTTTTCGCGAGTGACACTCTCGAGTGATACCCAATCGCGACGTTAATTAACAGGACACGGCAATGGACGAGAGTCTGCGATGGTCAATGGAACTTCTGACGAATGATTAATGGCCCTGTCAATTACCATTTGTTGCCGCCTCTCCCTCCCTTCCCTTGTTCGACCGATTTCCCGCGATTATTATACCGAGGGAAAACGATCGCGCTCGTATAATTCATTCTACGCGGTCGCGGTGCGGTTTATTAACGGTTAGAATATTTTCGTCCATAATTCTCGCCGCGGACGATTTAGCCTCGTAATTGGAATCGTTATGCATCGCGGTGTAATTGGGGGGAGTTGACGGTGGTCAGAAGATTCATGCGAGCGATGAAAATCTTTCTTTTTTTATTAATCGATGGCCCGGACTACGCGACGTACCTCTCGCTGTCGAAATTCTTTATTTAGAGAATATTAATTTAATCATTTTTGGTAGTTGCTCGTTCGAAAATTGATAATCAATTAAAGTGTGAAATTAGAGACGGTGTGTTCTCTGCTTTGTTGGCAGACGTGGAGCTAGAGTGCCTGGCCACGTGGAAAGAGAGCAGCACGCACAATCTCGTGGCAAGGTTGCACGCTCCGCGAAAAACCAGCGACGAGGACAGCTACAGATGCTTCATCTACGAACAAACGTCGAACAATTCGTGGAATTTGGCGCAGAGTGAGGATGCCTCCTGCACGGGCTTGATCAGCGTCAAAGAGGCTGCCAAGACGTTCAAGATGAAGCAGAGTGAGTACACCAAAAGTCCCTATGCCTGGCTTTACTATAAAGTAATCTCTAGCACAGAAATTCTTCGGTTTTTCAAGCAGAAGTTGAAACAATTTCAATGAAGTATTCCTGGAAATCGTTATTATATTTTCATATTTGTAAAATAGCTCGTTCTTCGTCGCCAAATTGGAACTGGGCTCGTGAAATGTCCCTAGAATATCACTATTACATTTCCGATTACATTATGTCAAGTGCATTGTCAAAGTGTAAAAAACTTTTATATCTGGACCATTAACATTTCTTACCAAAATACGCGTAATGATTTAATACCATCAGTACAAAAAAATTCCCTATGAAATCTGATACTGAATTAAATTAAGCAATATTCTACCAGTTCTAGAAAAGTTTGTTGTAAGTTGCTTCTTCTCGCAAATACGTGTAACTGTTTGAAACTCTTCGACACTGTCGCTATAAATAAAAACTTCCCTAGGCTATTGTTATAAATAAAAACTTCCCTAGGCTATCGTTATAAAATCCTAAATAAGGGCACTACCAATACAAGGAAGCGAACCATTGAAATATCAAAATTTTTGAATCTTTCATAATCGTTGAATGTCGACTCTCAGCTGGATGGAAATTTACCAATTTCTCTCTCGTCAAACATCTCTTCCAACGTGTACGCGACACAACTGAACTGACTATCACGCTGTTGCCAACCGAAGAGCAACGATCCTGCGGGCAAATTGTTGGCACACTGACATTATCGTTAACTGATGATGGCGCGTCTTGGCACGGGGAAAACCGCGATAGCAGCAGGGCACGAAGAACGTAAACTATGAGGGTGTCCATGGACACCAGATCGGATTCTTGGGCAGCGTGTTATCGGCACAGTGGCGCAGCGGTCGACGTCAGCTACTTGGGGTATTCCATGGTATCGCATAACTGCACGTAGCCTTCCTAGATTGCGATGATTCTGCCCTCTGCAGCCATGGTTAACCAAATTGAGGCGATCACCAGCCTCGTTCGATCCACCTCTCAACATTCTTGGGATTGATTTTACCTACGACCACGAATCTTTGATCGGCCTAGGCGTGGAATTTTACCACGAATTCTTGCACCGAACGGCTAAAAGTCTCCTCCTCCACGCTACTGGAAACCGAATTCCACGCGTGGCTGCATCGTTATCGTGCAGGCTCGATGGATCGTGCGTTTGGAATTTTTTCGTTCGCCATTTCGATATTAATTTGCAGTTTGGCGAACTTTCGCCCCAGTTCTGGTTTCCTGTTGTCAAAAATTCACTCAGCTCGAGGCCTGATGGATTCTGCGTATTTTATTTTATTTTATTTTATTTTTTCTTGATAAAACAGCCACGGGATATTTGAAGAGTCTCATTTTTCTAATATTTTGATTGTCTATCGTCGAAAAACATGCTTCTGAATTTTTATTTCTGTGACTTAAGTATGTCTCTGTGTTTCTCAGGTTCGGAATTGTTTTATTGAAAATAGAAATTTGTACAAAGATTTGTACAAACTTCTTTCATTTTCAATTGGACAAAATCTATTCGAATGATTCTTAAAATGTTCTGACTGTATAAAAAATTGTATAAAAGTTGAACTCTCGGTCGTGTAACCTGTCCGTTCATTACCATTTTAATTCATCAATCTCCGGCCAGAGTGTAGAGAGGATCATCGTCGTCGATCTGTTCGGTTCATTGCTCCAATTTCGGTTTAAATACACCGTTCCTCTCTGTAGCCTATGATCGTGGATACGAGCAGACAGTTGTATTAGATGGAGATGATCTTGTTGCTGGCTTTGCGGTGAACCGCGTTCAGTTGGATTTCCCCGAATACATGACTGATTGCGCGATCCTGCCACTGACCAGGATTTATTTCCAGACGTTTTCTCAACATCAAACTGCCGCGCCGTGTTGGACTAATGTTTCAAACGCGATAAACACACGCGACAATTACACGTCCATTTTCAGATTTTCGTTCAGAAAGTTTCAACTTCTGAATTCCTGACTTCTAGAATCATTGTGTTTTAATTCTAAAGCGGATTGAATTATACACAAATATCCGAGTGTTTTGAATGTGTGTTGTAAACGTGTCCGATCGAAGGTCAGTGAATTTGTTTGACGATCATTTTTCTATCGGTCGGACGCCATTTGTATTATACACTCGGGAAATTTTCGCGTCTCTGCCGAACGAAATCGCGGCGAGAGGGCATCAACAGTGTTGAGCGAATGGATTTGGAGATCCCGGGGACTAATCTGCCTTCAGGAAAGTTTAAATGGAAGCGCCGGCGAACCGGGTTAACGAAACACTCCGGGCCAATGTTGCGACAGGAGGCGTGGAAAAATTGTTAAGCTGCTTAAACGCTCGAATCGTTGCGACGAAATTTTCGAAATTTTTCTCCATCTCTCGAGAGGGGAAATCTTCGACGCCGAAATGGAAATCGATTTTCATCAAATCAAACTGCACAACAGAGATCCTCAAAAATATATTAAATTGAAAGTTTACATTAAATTAAGAATTAATATTGATATTGCAGTATATCCGGTATATGCACAATTGATACTAGTAAATTTTGTTGGAAAACATTTTTAAAGAGAGAATTTACAGGTACGAATTCCTTTTATTCTCTTTACGTAGACACAGCAAACAAATCTGGCACAATAAATGAAAAAAAAAAGTTACTTTCAAGTTTCAATATTGCTCTGCAAGGTATTTACGATTTTTTTGAGATTCATTTCGTTCTCTCTCTCTCGAGAGAAGGGATTGCAGTTCGATGCAAATCAACGACCGTGGTCCTCATTCATGCTCGACCACGTTTCACGACCAAATAGATAGATAGATCACTATTATTTATATATATCATATGCACAAACTTCGGTAATATTATTTTGTCGAAACGATGTCGTCCTACTGAACTATATTTCTTAATTAATACTTTAGTTATTAAGTTGATTATTATTAGCTTGTTGTTCAGTTTTTAAAATTACTTCTTTTCAGTCATATTTTTACATTTATTCTAATTTTCTATAAATGTCTGAGAGGATAGGATTAGAACATGGTGTAAACGTGCGAAATATGTCGACGAGGGAGGGCCGAGAGCGAGATTTGTGAAGTGAGCAGGAGAAAGCGAAATGAGACGTGGCCATTGTTAATGGTAATTCGTCGAGACACTGGGAGAACGCGTGTGCCCATCGAGGTATCGATCGCCTTTCAACGGAGGCGTTTCCGCACGCCGCATACTTCGACGCCTGTGCATTTTTAACGGTCCATTAATTCGTGCACAGTGATTGATAGCTGTGAGCAGTCGACCATCGACGCGATAACTGTTTGTAGGCGACGAGGACGCGCGTTTACGTTGGATTATTGCATTCCACTGCCATCATGCTACCTTCCAACTCATTCCTCATTCTCCTTTTTTTCCCCCTTCGCTTCCGCCGTTTCTCTCAGTTTACTCGAATTATAAATTGAAATGGAAATTTCAAATTGAAATCAATGCCGATTTTCGTAGTGAAATATACTTATCTGAATAGAATAGAGTTTGGAATAGAGTCTCGAATACGAATGCAATCTGTATAGATTTTTAATTGACATTTATATTATGTATTGTTGTATTATTATTATATTTTTGTTTATTTTATATAAACTGGCTGTCCGCGTAATTTGTATCTAAAAATTCACAGTTTAACGATCGTCGTTTTTACTATTGGCATTGCCGAAATTATTGTTAACAAGCGAATCTACGAGAATGGAAGGTAACTACGAATTTTTCAGAAATCACGTCACAGAGTGAAACGTTTTGCGATTTTTATCGCACTACCGAAGATGTAATCGTTCGTGATTTTACTGAAACGCTGAAAACGCGGAGCTCTCGTACCGAAAAAGAGGATTCAATCCGTGAAAATCGAAGGAAATCACGATTGTTTAAAAACCTGGCTGTAACGCGAATTATTTTGCAATTTCCATTGCAAAATTGAACACTTTGATGAAAATGAGTGAAGAATTTATATATTTGACACGCTGCGACTGCGTTACTTTATGGCTGCATTTGAAATAAACAGCGATTCATGTGCCTGCTTGATCGTACATTGACTCGTACCACTGAAGCCGAGTAATATTCATGCCTCTCGTAAGTTTTATCGCTCGGATGTAACAAGTTTCGAAACTTTTATCTAAAAGCTGTCTTAATTAGTAACTTTCTCCAGTTTTTCTGCGTTCCTCCCTCTCCAATTTCGAAATAAAAATAATGGACGAAGATAAAGTTACACAACCCCAGAAAATTAAAGGTCCGAAAAATTCATTGAACTCGCGCGACGTTGTAACAAAAAGTCTCAGGACATTCTGCCTGGACTCGTTTTAAAAATGTCGTAGCTTCTACTTTCAAAATCCATCGCAAACTTTCTTCTTCTGAACTGGAAGTGGAAAACTGAACATATCTTCAATGAAATTCAAATTTTTAGAAATTCCACAGGCGTTAGAAATGCTTCTTTCCGGGGTAAATCCACGGTGATCCTCGAGATTGGAACCTCCCCTTTACAACGACTCTTTAAAATTTGAAGTGCAATTTTCTTTCGCCGATTTATTCAATTTAGATGATCGTTGTAAAGAAGAGATTTAGAGTCGCAGTCTGAATTCAGTTTTAGAAAATTTTTTTGAAAGTACAAAGCGGCACAAAGCAAATAATTGGACTGTTATATTTATAAAAATCATTCTTTCTATTCAACTACTTATCGTAAACCCGAAAAGAATGTTTACGATCGTTGCAAGCTCGAATTTTCTCTTGAAATTCACCGTCAGCGAAATTCCTAGCTGTCGTTCTCTTAACTGTGTCTCGTATACTTCGCAACTAATAACGAATTAACGGGCCATTAGAGCAACTTATTTTAATTATTCGACCTCGCTCCGTCGTGAATTAATATTTTTAGAAGCTCGTTTCTTAATAAGGCCACTGGAAAATGGAAAATTCTGGTATTCGATGCTGACGATGAAGAAGCTCGACGGTCGTGTGATTAAATTTATAACAGTTCAGTGATAAAGAGAAAAAGAGAGAGAGAGAGAGAGAGAGAGAGAGAACAAAGACAGCGAAAGAAAGAAAGAATGAAAATGAAGTTTATGCGTAGTTTACTTATCGGGCCAACTCGAAGAGCTTGGAATGAGTTTCTAGTTGCATTATACGCCTGGAGAATAACCGTGATATAACTATG